AGCCATGGGAATGATTCAGAAGCAAGGAAATTGGGTGCCGTACGAGTTGAAGCCGAGAGATGTTGAACGACGTTTGTTTGCTTGTGAACAGCTGCTTGAAAGGCAAAGACGGAAGGGCTTTCTGCATCGCATTGTGACTGGGGACGAAAAATGGGTTCATTACGATAATCCCAAGCGCAGAAAATCATGGGGAGTTCCCGCCCATGCTTCCACGTCGACGGCCAAACCGAATATTCACGGCTCCAAGATCATGCTCTGTATTTGGTGGGACCAGCTCGGCGTAGTATATTATGAGCTGTTAAAACCGACTGAAACAATCACAGGCGATCAGTATCGAACGCAATTGATGCGTTTGAGCCGAGCATTGAAAGACAAACGGCCGCAATACAACGAGAGACACGATAAAGTGATTTTGCAGCATGACAATGTTCGACCCCATGTTGTGAAAGTGGTCAAGACATACTTGGAAACGTTGAAATGGGAAGTCCTACCCAACCCGCCGTATTCTCCAGACGTTGGTCCCTCTGACTATCACTTGTTTTGATCAATGGCACACGACCTGGCTGACCAGCACTTCCGGTCTTATGAAGAAGTCAAAAATTGGATCGATTCGTGGATCGCCTCAAAAGATGACCAGTTTTTTCGACGCGGGATTCGTATGCTGCCCGAAAGATGGTAAAAAGTAATGGCCAGCGATGGATAATACTTTGAATCATAAATGTACAACCAGTTTTTTACAATAAAGCCTCGAATTTCGGAAAAAAACCGCATGAGCAAAGTCATACGCCTTATAAAAAAAGAATCTATATTGTTTAGAAAATTCATAAAATAAAAAATATTTTTAGAATGTCAAAATTGTAATTAAGCATTTTAGAAATATTAAAAGTATATATAATCTTTTGCAATATTTTTAAGAAAGAAAAACTTTTTTTAAGAAAGAGAAACTCTAAGGGAGGAATCATGACCCTCATGCCCCATGACCCTACCAACATGGATCCGTCACTGCCATATATGTGCTTACATAATGTAATTCGGTAATTCTCATAATTCTGTAACAAGGAAGAAAGAACTTTACAGAAAATTAAAATAACGTTTATCATATAAATAAGTATCAAAAATATAAAAATATTTATTGCCATTAATGATAAATTTGATATAAGTAACAAACAAACGAAAAGAGAAAAAAGTTTGTATTCTTAAAATCTTACTAATTTTCTTTTTGATAAAATTTATAAATAATAAATTTACAAACATTTTTTTGGTTGAATAATAACTTCTTGTAAAAATTCTAGGAATTTATATTCTAAAATATTCTCAAGAAATTAGACTTCTAGGAATCAATAACGCTATGGAGTTCTAATCTCGATCGTACTTGTCATTTCTATGTTGAATATTCAACCAAAACCCGTCCTTCGGCATCATTAGCAGATTTTTCTCGTTGAATTTAATTTTTGACGAAGTTTTGGCGCACTGTTTCAGTTCACATCGTGCTAGTAAATGAAATGGTATGACTTTTATCATCAACAAACCGAATCTTCTGTCAATGCACATTCTCGATCCTAATCCAAATGGAAAATAAAATGAAGACCGATAATTATTGTCCAGATTATTATTTAAAAATCTTTCTGGACGAAATTCTTCAGCATTATCGTAATATTTTTCATCATGATGAATCGCATACAACGGAATCCAAATAATCATGCCCTTGTTTATAGTGAAAGACTTCTCGCCCGGCAATGCAGGTGGCAATTTATAAGCTCACTCTTTCTATAACAGATTGTGAAAAAAGTCTGAGAGCTTCCTTTATTACTGCATCTAAATATTTGAGTTTATTAATTGCTTCGTAAGTTACATTTCCGTCTGATTCGTTCAAGAGCTCATCTATCTCTTGTCGCAATTTGACTTGAATACTTGGATTAGCTACGATTTGATACGTTATAAAAGACATCACGCTTGAACTAATGTCAGAGCCAGTGAAATAGAAAGCGTAGGCTTGCGCGATAATATCGTCCACATCCAATTATATTCCCTCTTTGCCTCTGTTATCCAACATTAATTGTATCATATCTGGACTTGAAATGTGCTCAGCATCGCGAATGACAATCTCGTTCTTTATCCTGCTTTCAAAATATTTCATTTCTTGATTATTAAAAAGTTTTATATTGAGTATTCGTCCAAGCTTCGGAAAAGTTCTAATAAAAATATACTTTATGCTGCGTATTGCTGACATATAAGTTATATCTTTGCCACAAATATAAAATTTGTTTGTCGGATCTCTTATAGAATCGATTTTCATTCCGTACATACATAAGGCAATGACATCGTTCGTATATCTATCAAAAATATCTTTTATATTAATGTCGCTTTTATCTGCTGGTAGTGTTGACATCAATTCAACAAAATCCGCAGCATGTTTCGACATAAAAGTAAACATAGTCTTCATCTTACTGGACGTAAAGGATGGAGATAGTAGGTTTTTTACGTGCCGCCACTTTATGTTTTGTAGGCCAAACAGATTCTGTGAAAGCACATAGTCATTAACATCAACGAAAATGGAATTATTGGTAAATGAATTGAAATTCTTGACAATAACAGCCTTGATCACTTCCGGATCACGGAGCATAAGAACTGGCTTCGTTGTAGCGTAGAATCCAATGTATTTTGCGTCTCGATTCAGATTGTATATTTTTCTGGTGAAATTGGCAAATGACATTCGGCGAAATATAATTGGTGCCATGACACCTAGTATAGGAATAGATGGTATGTGAATAATACCATGTCTTTTAAAAAAATTAAACTTTCTGAAGATAATAAGTAACGAGAATGCTAATTACGATTGATAACACTGAGATCGACCAGTATTGCATGATAAATATTACTCGAAAACTTTATGTTTTATGAGAATTAGAATGATACTTATTAAAGTTCAGCAAAACTATTCGCGAGTGATTGATGAAATATATAACAGTCTAGCAATGCTATTGAGATCAACGACTAGAAGCGATTGTGATCTGCAGAAGTTGATCTGCATATTTCCAGCCTGTTTTATACTTTTATACTTTGGTTTATGGTAAGGGAGCAGATTTATACGCGTATGCGTGCTCTATTCCAACAATGCGTCTTGACAAGGACGCATTGTTTTGTGTGCAAACAATGAGATCCAAGATGGATTTGGCCGAGTCCTGTGAAAGTCTCGGCAATGACAGGTATTAGTCTCTAACGCTGGTATCGGTAGTGTCGATCATCTGACCTCCTAATGGATTCGCTCCTATGATACGTGCATTCTTCAGGACGGTAACAAACCCTAGGTCGTCCGGAGATCGTGAATATTGTAATTCCCGATGATGGCCGATGAGTTGGTAGTGCCGCTGCGTACCAGTAACTGGGTTCCTCGTCGGTGATAACTGCTAGCGGTTGAGCACCTCTGGAAGCAGACTGGCTGCTCGTATCTCTCTGTTGAAGTTGGCCGGGGCTCTGCTGCTCCTCGTCTACTGGATGTTGAATACGGTCCTTCAGTCGGCTCTCGACTACGGAACTTCAGGCCTACGGAACTCAGCCACAGCGAAACCAGGTAAGGAAACGTTAGAAGCGCTTAACTGGGATGTCCTATCACATCCACCATATTCTCTAAATATTGCTCCTTCCGATTATCACCTATTTCGATCGACTCATGGTCTGTCTGAGGCTTCCATTCTTATGAAGATATAAAAAATGAGTCGATTCGTGGATAACCTCAAAAGATGTGTCGTTTTTTTTACATGGAATCCAGCTATTACGAGAAAGATGAGAAAAAGTAGTAGCTAGCGATGAACAATATTTTGAATAATCAATTTGTAATCATTTTTTCATAATAAAGCCGTATTTTTACCAAAAAAATCCCTTAAAATTAATGCATACTTCCAATAATATTACAACAAAAAATTCATAAATGTTTATCATGTATCGAAGCCTGCAGGAATCCGCGGATCCTGAAGCTTACGAGGGCCCGCGAATTCTAGAGCCCGTCGGTGCGTCGCACCAGTTGCACCGAAAAACCTTTGGCAGCACCAGCGCAGCGAGCAGATACATCAAACCAGCAAAATAAACACGAAAAATATTCCAACGACACCCGATTAAAGAGTACTCGAGTCCTAGTATGGATTGAGAATTCAAAGCGAAAGTTAGCTCGGGTCGTTCATGGACCTCTTTATATATCCTCTCCGCGGAATCTTGAGCACAAATTCACGCTTGAATTCGTCGCTTTCTGGGAGCACGGCGCGAAGCTTCGCTTGCTGGGGACGTCTTGTGGCGCGAGCTGTCTGTTTTATATCTTTTTTAGTAATTAAATACTTTAACTATATGTCTAGGCGTGAGTCTTTCTAATTTTAAGCTCTACAAAGATGATAGTGCAGGGAAACCACGGGATAAGGGAAGGTGAAAGTACATCTGTAACAATAGGACCGCGAAGAAAGAGGTCCGCGTGATACTACTATGTGTGAAATCTGCAGGATAAGAGGATTGCAATAAAAGAGAGAGAGAGGGGAGGGGGGCTGCGAGAAAAGGAGTTCACATGACGTCATTAATGGCGGGATTCACGGGGAAAGAGACAATTAGCTGATGGGGTTACCCTCTGACTGATTATATAGTCAACGGGGTTACTTGGAGGGTTTCAGGTTCCATACGATGTAAGATCCGAGATGAGCAGTGTACCACAAGCGCCTCCGCTGTATTCGATTTCTTTCTCACTTACATAGCTGTCCACTTCCTTTCTGCCACAGTTCTCATGCGCATTCTCTTTCGATCCTGTAACAATTCGTAGACTTGTCTCTCCTTAGTTACTGAATAATATCAAAATCGGAATAATTAAAAAAAAGAAAAAGATGAAAAGAAATGTAGAATAGGCACTAATTATAAAACGTTCAGAATTTTAGGAAATTAAACATAAATTTTAATTCGAGATGTTAAATGTAAATATTACTTCGTCTTTCATGATCACTATCACAAATCTTAACTCAATACAGAAAAATTGTTTAATTTGTTTAACCAATTAGGTATTTTAGTTAATCCAGTTATGCATTTTAGTTAATCTAATTAAAATTATAAAAGAATACTCTTTCCTGGGGAAGGTTTAAATAAATTCTTTCAGTTATTCAATAAAAATTGATAGAAATATAACAGGCATGAATATTCGTTATTTGAATAAGCAGTTATGTAACAATGTAAAATTTTATTGGAACAATATTAAACCTCTCTCTCAAAGCATTCATACACAACAAATTTAACTAAACTATAAAGAAAAGTCCTCTACCTTGCAATTTTTCCTCTATTTTGCAATTTTTATAATAATTAACAAGATATTAATTGTTAATAAAATTGTTTATTTTTATAGAACTCTACGAATTTTTTCAGAATTTTTTATTAACTTTTTAGTACTGCATTTTCTCATTTTTACCAACATGAGAAAATATGATATTAAAAAATTCTGAAAAATTCTAAAAAAATTCTTAGAGCTCTATGAAAAAAAAAAAAACAATTTTTGTCTTTTGCAGTTTTTCTGTAAAGTTGATAGTATTTGACTAAATAAAAAATTATTGAAGACCAATTTTTGACAATTTTTAGCAATTAATATCTTATTAACGATTGCGAAAATTACAAAATGATAGAAGACTTTTCTTCTCAGTTTAGTCCATTCTGCCTCTATGCGAAAGATTTATTATTATTTTCCAAACACCTGTATATAATTATATAAAATTACATATAATTATATAAAAAGTTGACATATTTTATACACAATTATATATAATTACATATAATTATATGTAAAATATGTCCACATATATATAATATTATTTCCTGGGATCCTATTTCTGTCTGTGTTGATACTATCAAAGTGTTTGATATCATTTGTCATAGCATATTAATAGACAGACTTAAAAATACGAATTTTTCTTACTCAATTTTAAGCTGGATTCATGCCTATCTGAATAATAAAAAGCAGCCAATTCATAATTCTGTTCCATAGGATAAATCATAAATTAAAAAAGAAATTACTAGAATTCCCCAAAGCTTGGTGTCATATAAGAATTTCTTTTATTTATTTTTTATTTACAGAAAATCAATATAATTTTAAATTTCTATAAAAATAAATAAATATAATTTAAAAATAATGTGTTATAAAAATCGCTTCCTGTATAATATCAAAAAGCCTGTTATGCATATTTCACGTTAAATACATATACATCATTACACGTGCTTGTGATGTCCTCGAACAAAAGGCGTTATGATAACAAGCACAGTTGCTGTCCAGTTCATTCGTTAAGCGTCAAAATGGCGTTTAGGCTGGAAAATTCGTCTGATGAAGAACAACGCGCAGTGATACGTTTTCTAACCGCTGAAGGCACCACGCCAATCGACGCCATTCATTTCATTTTCCATGACACACAATCTTCACCATACATATCGACCATCCCACGATGAATGGTGCCTTCAGCGGTTAGAAAACTTATCATCGCACGTTGTTTTTCATCAAATAAACTTTATTCTTCATTCAAAGAAAATAATTGCTATGATTGTGGGCAAAATATAACATATCAATAACGACAAATTGATTAATATTGAAACCAATAATATCTTATGACTCTGTTAAATGTCTTGATCTTTCAATTTCTAGCGTTCCTTCATAGAAAAAGAAAGTTTCCAAAATAGTTTAAAAGATCAATGTTTTGAATATCAATTAACTTAAGATGCTTACTGTGCTTTATCCCTAGAATTGTTGAAAAAGAAAGATATTGCAATATTGAAATATCTTCTTCTCATTAAAAATATAATTTCAGAACTATATAAAGAATATTAATTTCAGAACTAGTTTATGTAATACTTGCTTAATATATAAGATACAAAGATACAAATAGGATATCGTACAATGACAATGCTTTTCTTGTGATCTTTTTTTACATATTAGATCGAAGAAATACGAAGATATTCATAAATATTATTACGTTGATATATCTGTAAATGTCAGAGACTCTCAAAGTATGGATCGCACCTTATAACTTATTGATAGTTCGACTTGTACTTGGCACATATATGGTCCTTGGAGCAAAATCATAATAGGCATAATAACTCCGGCAAATATGCCGCGCTGGGATTTACGCCACAGAAGTCAGAAAAAATAGAAGGAATGGGAGTAATTTTCCCGCAACTATTCTGTTACATGCCTTTATATTATATTAGTATTGTGTTATGATTTCAGCTTCTTACTGTTAATATTAATGAATTTATTGTGAGTTAAATTGATTTGTCATTGTAGTAAGTAACGTCATCATAAATTATAATCTACATAAAATGATTAATGTAGGGCGTGTAAATGACTTAGTAGTTATTTCATGATACATACGTATAGTAGGATAATAAAGCATGTTGTGTAGCAAAATATAAGTGCTTTGCTTTCGTATTCTTTGTTTAATTTGTTGTCTTGTATCCCATCTGTTTGGGATATACGGCATTTTTAGCGGGATTTATGCTTAAAGCATATAAAGTGCGCAGATTGAATTCAGAGCACTAAATGCAATAAATGCATTATATGTATCTCATGTCATAACACTTGTAGAAAGATTATAATTATTATTTATTACTTCATATACATATTTACCATTCTTATTCCTTAATAAAACTTTATAAACACATTTTATAAATTATTGTGTCATTATATATCTTATTTATATGAATTATTTGTAAATTTTTCGTGAGCTATACATATCCCTATGAGTAGCCATATATCTCACCCCTATGGCAAAAATGCAAGGGTTTCAAAAAGATTATTTTTTAATATGAAAAATAAATATTTCGGATTTCTAATATTTTTTTCATAATAGTAGACAGTACAAAGTGTTTATTGATATAGTTTACTATAAACATAGTAAATAATACTTAATAAATTACGTTTTTAATAGGTGCGGCATATGTACCAGAATTATCCTAATATATATTCAAATAACAAATGTGAACATGTAAGTTAACTCGATAACGCTAAAAAACTGCCACATTTGCAATAGTTCAAAACAGACATATTTGGTAAACAAAACTTTTATATAAAACTATTGGTCTGTGTTCTGTTCCTGCACTAAAACTTTTTTTCTCGCTTTTGAAAAATATCACAACATATACCTTTCACTTTAAATTCCAAAAGTATATACTGATTCAACCATAAAAACAGACATCTTATAAGGTATGGTGTTAGTAATTAAAAAAGTCGTTGCATTTTAAGCACATGTTTATTTCAACACACATTAAGTTTAATATGCTTCTAAATTACGAATAATACATTTCTTGAAAAAAATTTCTCATAATATATTCTGTTACGAAATGTATATTCTGTTTGGCGTATCGATTTAAAAAAAAAGTTCTAAATCGATGTTTGAACAAAAATTCAACAAAATAGACAGCTGAGTGTCTTTACGCGAGTGTAGTAGATTCCGGTGACAAATATAGTATAATGGTCTAGGATTAAGTCTAGAATTAATTGAATAATACTTTGACGAATGTAAGCGTTAAATTTTAAATGTAAATATTGATTATTAATTAAATTATTGTATAAAATGTAAATGGGTCATGATACCATCTTTTCTGTTACATTAATATACATTGCTTAAATTCATCGAGTTTAAACGCGCACTCGGCTCAATTTCTATCTTCCTATCACATGGCAACGATGCTATTTTCAGATTTAACAATGTAGAAGTATCTTAGTTCTTATTTATCTAAAAGATTATATTTTATGCTTATTGTTGTAAAATTAAGAAAGTTCAAACTCCATAAATTTCAGCAATGTAAATTAAAATGTTTTATACACTTATATGGATCACGTTCCACTTGCCATATTGTACCTTTAATTGCCTATTTCTTACCGAACAATTCAACAACTGTTTCATATAAAACTAAAAAAATAACATATTTATCACTTACATCGTTTCATCGTTATCTCAAATTTATTGTCTGACGTAATTGTCTCTAAATTTACAATAGAATATATAAATGAAACAATATCCTGATTATAATATTCTGAATATATTATATATGTGCATAGAATTCTACATATCAAAGAGAGAGAAAAAGAAAAAGGGAGAGGATTTATATAGACGAAACAATTTTTATTAAATCATCATCATTTACATTAAATCATCATTACTTCACAATTTATTACATACTAACAAATATATGATATAATTTAAATTGTAGATTGGCACATTAAGATTGAGTATGTCACTATCAATTAACATTACAACCTGTTTTTAATTCATCCTCTACCGACGACCGTCGCGTAACGGTGTAAGATTCCTCGCGTACACGTGGTTTTCGGATTTCATGATGTATTATATCATTCATGATGTTTCATTATAGTTGCAAATAGATGGAATCTGGCACATACTCAAAATAATAAAACAATTTTCATATGGTAATATGCAGAAAATTTTAATCATAATCGATGTTTATTGACATAAATAATAGATAAAAATTACATCAGCTTAAATATTTGTAATATTTGTAATATTTGTATTAAGTTATAAATAAATTTATAAATTAATTTATTATTTATAAATTATGCATCAATAATATGAAAGAAAATAGTTAAAAATTAATGTGTGATTGAAGAAGTATAATTATTTCTAATTTCTAAAGAGTTACTGTAAGTATAATTTAACAATACATTTTAATTGTATAGGTATCAATATCTGAAGAAATTATTAAAAGTATTTCTATCAAAACAGTATTTATTACAGTACAATATTTTTGGATTGGTGTGTTATTTAAACATCTCAATAAAATTGATTTTTGCAAAACAAATATAAAAATATAAAATATATAATAAACTTATCACTATTATTATTGTAATTCTGATAGACTCGTGAATAAAAAATAAAAATAATATAAAAATACAATAACCTTTAGACATACCATACTACCAAATGGTCACGTTTTACAGACCATAAATAAAGAACAGCTGGAAGCTAAATCTTGTATGCTTCTTCTAACAAAAGCGGTACAGATAACACTGTGTGACGTAATGAATCATTACATCCTTGTTATTTGCTAATGTTAAACAAAAATGGGATGTTGTGCTGTGTCGCTTATTGGAAGGTTTACCTTACCTATCAATAAATTCTTTTTGTTTGAAAACAGGAATCATTTAAAAGAACAATTCTATTGAATATCAACAAAGATATAAAAACATTTTTCATTTAACATAATTTTTAAAAATAATTAACTACATTTACACATCATCATTAATCTGGTTTAATAATGTAGTTATAATTCTCTAAATGTATATGTATATCTCTTGAAGCGCTTTTTATTTATTTTATCATAACTGAATATAATGCTTTATTTATAGACTGCATTATAATCACCTTATTTCAAGTTGGCAATATACTTTTAAAACGTTTATACTTCCTTCTTAAAAACGGTTTCATAAATCTACATTTTTTTACTAACAAATTCACTAGTATAAACTACCCTTTATACAACATTTTACACTAGCAGTTATAACTATTATTACTAAATCGAATTATCATGTAAATGTAGTTATTGATAAAGATACTTTTCAAGAATGTTATAAAATGTTTAAAAAGAAAAAAGTATCAATTATGAAAATATTTTAAACGTATTTCGCACGTGTTTTAAGCTTTTATACATCATTTAGAAATCTATATATATTTGCATTCTCTCTTGGGACCATCTATCTGTATCGCTTTTGGGGCAAGCGAGACCAATTTAATTAGACGGAAACGTAGTTACAGACCCGAGGAGTATAGCGAGAGAGACAATATTCTCGCCGGAGCATCACAGAGGGAAAGCCTGCGAAAACGCAGGCGCTAAATTGCGGTGAAATTTGCAAAGAGATCCGTCTCTTCGTGATAGTAACGCGTGCGACACCACCGGGCCAATTTCCCTGTGGCAATTCCTCACGGCATCGGGGGTGAGAATACGTCAATCTCGACGAGGCGATGGTGATGCGATGGCTGAAATGTTGCAATCGTTTCGTGGAATGTGCACCACATACGATAGACGAGCGACAATGAGTTCACGAAACTATAACAGAAAACGTATGTAGCATATAATTAATTTTTCCGACTGTAAATATTTTATGTCTTTTCATATGATATACTATAGGCTTTCTTTTTCTAATGCTTTGTTTCATTGTTTATTATTTTTTTTATTAATAAAGATACATATATAATATATTTGCTTAATATCGTTATGTTCCTTAATGTTTGGCATTTCAATTGAAAAAAAAAGGTTTACAATATGTTTATTTTATAAAAGTTATTAATAATCGAGTTATAAATAATCGGGAAATATGTCGTACCACAGTGTGCTGTAATTCAAGGGTCAGTATTCTTCGCACGGGTTGTTGTTACACGTTAATTGAACGAAAAACTTATACATATGTGTCGATTAAAAGCAGGCTGAGCAGGCTTCAATGGTATAATTTATTAACATCGTGGAACATTTGTTTAACAAACAAAAATTGTTCGCGTTTATCGATATCGTTCACGAGACAAGAGTTGGTTCGCACAAAGCTAGCTGGCACATTGCCGAACATGAGAATAAATTCTTGTCGAATATTTATTATTTTCTAAACAAGAATCTTCAATTTTGAAGTTATTATTTGAATATTTTATTATTATATATAATATATTGAAAGAACTAATTGGCTGAATGTGGCATAGCATTTTTAATTGGTTGCAGCAGCCAATTTTTGATTGCGTTAGCCTACCGAAATCCTATATTGACATTGCGAATAGGCTAACGCAACCAAAAATTGGCTACTGCGGTCAATTAAAAATGCTGTGCCGTATTTTTCCAATTTGCTGTAGCAGCCAATCTTTTCTTTTAGTATACATATGTATAATTAGCATAAATAAAATTTAATTGCATTAAATATAGTTTCATATAAATATATGATTTTTGTTTTTTAATAATTCATCGTGAAGAACCTCGAGGATAATTGTAATTACCACAATTTAACTATTTATAGTCATTTTCAATTATATATCTTGTAGAACTGTAAATATGATTATTATTACTAACGTTACAAATAATAGTGATAAAAATAAAGCTCCTAATCATAATTATTTTTACCGTAGTAAAAATTAAATCTAATTATTGTCATAAATACCAAATATTTTTCTTTCAATGTAAAGATCTAAAAAAAAATTCATTTTTATGTACAACATTTTTTAAAAGTATTTACATAAAAACATTTAGTATAAATATATCTTTAAGTTAAATTATAATTAAAAAATTTCTCTAAATGATCTTCCTAATCTAATTTTCTAGCATGACGATTTAGCCAGACATGACAATCAAATATATAGCAGTAATATTTATCTGCGAACTGACGTTTCTTCGCGCTTGAGATTCATACAGTGCACATCTGATATACGTTCAATAGAAGACGAGAAGTTCGCCAATTGACCCGATAATTCGTTCTATCAGACTTTTGTTAGCTGCAGCAGAGCGAACAACGTCTTTCTCCGTCTCCGGTGCGGCGCAGCGTAAGAACTAAGAGTACCGAGCACCTATGCTGCTTCGGAAAATAATCGAAGATCTTCTCTGTCGTGTTCCGTGAACCATAGGAAGAAGCCGTGTAAATCAGATTAGACGCCATTTTGAAACTAATGAGTCAGGAAACGGGACTGAATCAAGAGAGGAGAGAAGGAGAGAAAGAGTGATTTCTCTCTCCACTGTACTCCACTGCGACTCCTCTTACCCTCCTTCGTCTTCTTTCTCTAACCTCGCTTCGCCTCCGACCTCTTCCGCTTCCTCTGAAATTTCCAAAGCATTTCGCTCTTATTTCCCTTTATTCCTCCTCTTTGTTCTCTTATCCCGTTCTCCCATCCCCATCCCCGTCTATATCCTTTCATCCATTGCATCCTGGATCGGCCTTCTGTCCCGTTTGCGTCCTTTTCAGTACTTGCAAACAATAACGCATTCCTGTAGCCGCGGTACGGTAATTAACCATTTGTTAGACGCTGCGGAAACAATAGTCCTCGTTTACTTGCGCGTTATCTCCTTTTACTTGTACAATAGTACGCTGGTATAGCATGATTAGCTTTAAAACAAAAACAATCGGGATTTGCCGTTAAAAATACGCTATTTTACAGCGTTCGACAAGTTGATAAATTTGCGAAACAACAAGATATTTTACTAGGTGCAATCTAATTTGCAGCTCTTGTTAATCTCAAACGATCGAAATTTCGGCAAGAGGCTTTTCTCTATTTTTCTTCTATTGCATTTGCCTCTCATTTCTTCATGAAAATCAAAAATATGCATATTTGTTCTTTACACGTAATTTATGAGATTTTTCCTTTCTTATCTTCATTCTTTCTAACAATATCATAAAAAGTTTTAATTTTTACACATACACAATTTTTGAAGTCTCATACATTAAGAATCTATAAAGCCTCCTTTGAACAATAATAATTCGTATCAGAGTTCAGCATAAAATTTTATTACAATATTATTACAATATTACATTAATTTTATTTGTAATCTTGTACAATATAATATAAAGAAATATATTATAGATATCACGCACATATAAAAGTACACGGAGAAAATTTTCTTTTAAAATTTATCCTGAAAGTGCGGTAGTTGTGGTACGATACAATATTTTAAAGATTTTTTACCATGCATTTTAGTAAAATCAAACTTATTTTATACTTTATTGTAGTATACTTTATTAATAAATGAGACAGATTTACATTAAAATTCTTGGAAATATTGTTCCGATCATATTTTTCATATTTATCATATTTTTAAGATAAACTTTAAGAAAAAAAAATTTATATTAAAACACACATACCTTGAAATTCTTTTTCATTTGCATACAAATTAAAAAATATATTTAACGCGAGACATCTCTTAATAGTTATAAATAGAAACGCGATTTCTATTTTAAAATTATTTAACCCAAATCTAAAATGAATTTCATATTTCGTGAAAAAAAAAAGAACAGAAATAAACTCCTTATTGTAATTTTATTTAAATAAATTCTAATAAATTCTAACTAACTCTCTAATGTCGAGTATGATATACGATGTGAGATTTTTATCGAGAAAAGGAAATCATTAAAAACGTTAATGGTTAAATATTCTTTTCAATAGTTACACAAATGCAAATTTTACTTTTTTTTATAATTTATAAAAGAAGAATAGGTTTTTGTATGCCAAATTTGCAAGAAGAAATACTGTATATATTGTACTATTACGTGAAATACTGTACTATTACGTCAAGTTTAAAAGTTAAGTAAAATGTGATTAAAGTTTCCTAAAAACACATTTTTAAAAATTAATTTAAAAATATACATATATTAGCTCATCTTTTGTAAAGCAAAATTAAAAATAAAACGATCACATATAGGAGCAATATTGGTTATAATGTAAAAAATTACTTTTAAAAATTCGTAACTAGCGAATCCATGAGCAAGAAATTTCAAAATAGACTCAAATTATTGTTTAAACATTGTATTTTAATATGAAAATATTAAACCTTTTTACCTCGACATCAAATCTCTTGTGCGCTTTATTTTTATTTTAGGAATGAGTTTTAGTCACACAATATCAAATAGAACAATTGTCTCATGCAGTCCCAGTATGAAACCAAATAATAAAAATTTCAATATCGGACTTAATATAGGAATAAGAGATCGTATTTCACAAAAAAATTATTTCATTAATTTAATAATATAAATAATTATAATTTTTATGTTAATCAAATAAATATTTTTTTACAAAATATGATCTTTCATTTCCATATATCTAATCTATTATTGAAATTTTTACTATTTGCAATGTTTTCGCATTGGGATTGCATAAAGTATTTTAATTGTTCTACTTGACACTGCGCAACAAAACTCATATAAAAATTATACAAGAGATTTAATATAATACCGGTAAAAATTTCAATATTTTCATATTAAAGTACATTATTATGCATAATTTTGCCCTTTTCGAAATCTATCGCACATTGGATTCGTCATCTATGAATTTTCAAAAGTAATAAAAAAAGCTTTTTCACAAAATTCCATTCCTTTTCATAAACTCAATATGAAATTATATGGAATTCTTACTTACATATTCGGACTCACAAAAATACAAGAAACTATTCTGATTTTTGAACCGCAAAATGTCATGTAGACTTGTGTTATCTTATTCATGTGCTTAATAAATGTTATGTTAGATATAACAAGTTTTTGACTATTTGTAAAATTGATAGTGTCTATAATCCTCAGTTTCCGTGATCTGACATACCTTCTCCAATATCGATTATCGCATTAACTCTCATCTTTAGCAAAATATTACGGACACACAGTGAGAGAGAACGGTATGGTAAATTTCGTCTCTTATGTGATTTGACCTATTAATTTGTTATTCCGTCAACGACTGTGCTTGTATCCGTTCTCTTTTGCGAAATTAATTTCGTCCGGTCGTGTTAAATCGGAGAATTTAATGAACACTTCCTTTTAACTGATAAAATTTGCAGTTTACGACGTTTGTTTGCATGCGAACGAGATGAGAAATGATAGTTGCGCTTAATCGTTGAAATTTCTAGCGTCTACTAGCATGCAGTGAAAATTTTACGTGTATGCACAGAGAAGAAAAAAAAACTTTGACTATTAATCCGAGAAAATAGTGTCCCGTGCGCGCAGTCTCGTCCGCGGCGGTGGCTGCTAATCAGGATGACGTTAAGCCGCTTAACCGAGCGTGCGAAGCTAAATGGTGATAATAAAAACAAGCGTGCATAAATTGTACAAGTGAGACAAACGATAATTTCCAACCATTCAATTAGGGATTTAATCCCGTTTACAGATAGGATATTCAAGGCAGAGTCTCTTCCACTCTCTTGTGTTTCTGCCAGTCATCTTCGAATACAACGTATTCCGCCGGGCTGTTTAATTTTAGTCGACGATACACATTTATCTATAAAATACATTTAAAAAACATGCGAAATTAATTCATAAACATAGGTAAAAGTATAAGAGTATATATAACACTAAACGAGCACTAGAATATGCTTGATTAAATGCAGCTTACTTTTTCTTTTTTATATGCAAAAAATGTAACGTTCTTAAAGTTAAAATTTAGAAATTTATTAAAATAACGTGTTAATTATTGTCCAAAAATGTGATTGTTTATAGTAATTAATTAATATAGTTATATATTTATTATTTGTAATAATTAAATATAGCATAAAAGAAATTATTTATTATCTATCAAATAAATAACCATTAAATTAATTATTTGTTTATTAGATAATAAATATTTGTTATATTTTTAATATAAATAAGTAATTAATTTAAGTTTGATAAGATAAATAAGAAATATATTTAATTATTTGTTCATTTGAAATATTATCACTTCCCGATAAAAAATTTTAAAGAATGTTATTTATTTCACATGAGCATTAAAAAATACATTAATGAAAGTACTTCCCATCACTTGTAAAACGCTACGAATTAATTCCAACACCTAATATATATTCTTATATATATAAATATATATATATGTAATACAAATAATAATAGTAATATGAAAACATTAAAAATAATTAAAAAGATAATTTTCGCATTATTTGTTTTAGAAAAAATTAGGTTTGAAGAATGTAAAAAAATTACTTACGTATAATTATACATAAATTTATGCATAATTATGTATGAGCAATTTTTTTTACATTTTTCCCACACTTGTTTTTTTCTAAAACAAACAATCCGAAAATTATCCCTTTAATTATTTTTTATATTTTCATTATTATTTTTACTACACTAAAAAGTAATTTTACAAAAGAAAGAAGGATGTATGAACATATATAAACATATTTTACATATTGGGAATGTGCATTAATTTTAAAGGATTTTCACTAACTAATATTATCGCATCCATATTGTTGCTATCTTCATGTTCAAAGCACCATCATGTGGCGATGTGACTTTAGTTTTCAGTATGTGTCATTTTGCCGAAGTATAAATAACATTGTTTTTTTTTAACATTGAATATGTAGAATTTTGTGCCAACAAAACGCAATTTGCGGGAAGCTTTGCTTTTTTGCTTCCATTTGAAGAAAAATACTGCCGAAAGTCAACGAATGCTGTCGAAAGCTTATGGTGATTATATTCCATCGATTTCAACATGAGTACTAATTTCGACGCTATAAAAAAGGTGATTTTGACACGGAAGATAAGGAATGTCCAGGCTAACCGAAAAAGTTTGGAGATGAGGAAGTAGAAGTTTTATTCGATCAAGACCCGAGTCAAGCGCAAAAAGGACTTGTAGAATCATTAAATGTTGATCGATCAACGATTTCCTTTGAAAGCCATTGGAATGATTCAAAAGCAAGGAAATTGGGTGTCGTACGAGTTGAAGCCAAGGAACCTCGAAAGGCGCAAAATGACTTGCGAATTATTGCTTCAAAGATACAGAAGAAAAAGTTTCTTGGATCGTATCGTGATGGGTGATGAAAAATGGATACGATAATCCGAAGCGCAAAAAATCATAATGCAGGCGAATCATTAATATCGACGGCAAAACCGAATATTCATGGCGCCAAGTTCATGCTCTGTATTTGGTGGGATCAGCTGGGTGTAGTATGTTATGAGCTCCAACCCAATGAAATCATCACTGGGGAACGCTATCAACAACAATTGATGCAACTGAGCATTGAAGCAAAAACGACTAGATTACGCGAAAAAACACGACAAAGTAATTTTCCAGCAACGCTCAGCCACATGTTGCGAAACCGATCAAGAAAACGTTAGAAGCGCTTAACTGGGATGTCCTATCATACCCGCCGTATTCTCCAAATATTGCTCCTTCCGATTACCACCTATTTCGATCGATGACTTATGGTTTGTCTGAGCAACGCTTCCATTCTTATG